CCCCCCCCTCTTAAATGACATTGCAGTGTTTCTACACAATGAGTGGTTAGGCACATCGTCGTCGCAAGCAAAAGTTCTCAGTGAATTTCGCGTGTGGGAAGGATTTTTATTGAGTATCTCAATATTTCTACTGAGACATTGTATCCCTCTTAGCCCGGGATGGGCTTGACAGGCCTAAATGGTCTAAATTGCGTTAATGGGAGCGTGAAAAACATGTGCGTGCTTCATCCTTCGTATCAAACATCTATTGCCCTAAGCCTTATCTCGCCTCTTTTTTGGTGCATACAATGGATTAATTCTTGCTTTAAGCACAACGACCTGGCCCACGTCCAACAATTGTGAGGCAGCGTGGTGGAATCAGGCTCTCGTCAAAATAATCAAAGTGAAGAAACTTGTTGGTTTTTTTTGCAGGTTTGTGAATTATTATCAAATTTTTGGGTTTTTTGGCTCAACGCCTTTCAAGCCCATTAAAGAACTCATTTCTGTGTGGATTTTTTCTCAAAAACGTTGATTAAAGGCACAAAAAATGTTAATTTTCAGTTACCACGGACTCTTAAGCTAACTAAGTAACTAGTCTTTGGTGGCCATTTTGTCAATTATTTTACCTCTGAAAACAGGAGACCCCCACCGCCTTTTTTTGCAAATATCTGGACTTGTATTCAAGATAAATGGATATTTTTGCCATCCAAATAAAGACATGTGAACAAGCTTTAAGAAGTTACCAATAACTCTACATGCCCAAAATTTGACGAGAGCCTGATTCCACCACGCTGCCTCACAATTTCATCTTTCCTCGACACCTTGTAGTACAAGAAAACAGAAAACTAAAAGTAAAGATATATTGTCGGCCCTAACTCCGATGTGCACAACCGATCATGCCGATCCAATTATAATGACCCGATCACTCGGACAAATGTCTATTCCACTCAAACCGTCTCTTACATCGGTCTGATTGACTTTCGGCGAATCTGAAGAGGAAAAAATCACTTCTCCTGGTTCGTCAATCAAGCGAGAATCGTAGCGGTAATAGAAAGCATCAGTGCAACGAAATTAGTTTGTTTAGCCTTCTCGGATCACCACGGTTTACTAATCTAGTTAGTCGAGTTGTGTTGGGGAGACCAATCCTCTAGACGCGGTGTAAATTGTTCGGAGTTGACTTGTGGGTCATGGTCATATGTGAGGCAGCGTGGTGGAATCAGGCTCTCGGCAAAATAACCAGAGTAGAGAAACTTGCATTTTTCCACAGATTTGTGAATTTGTATTTAATTTTTGTTTTTGGGCAAAACAAC